TACTCCAGTTCTGTTTGTACTTATTTGTTCTCTTGTATTAATAGGAAATAAAGAAATAGATTTTGTAGCAATTCAGGTTTGATCTCTCTTTGAGTTCTTATCTGTACAGCATTCAATAGTCATCACTACAAAAAGGAAAACATTGTAGTAAATATCATACTTATCAGAGTTGGTTTTATTTTTCTCCAAACCATTCAGTAAAAATAATGCATGTTTAATGTGCTTCCATTAAAGCAATTCTTGCTATTGTGACTGTTAGGATAGTATAAAACACCAGTTAACTGGAATTCTATGAACCTTCTCAATGTCAGAAGGATAAATAATTTTTAGGTGAAAATATAATCTATTTAGGGCCAGTACATGATCTGTTAGGCATAAGAATAAGTATGTCTATGAGTAAAGACAATTTTTTTAGTATAGAAAACCAAATTTGTCTGAAAACTTGTACAATTTAGCAAATGCTATTTTTAATAAAGTGATTAATTCTCTTATCGTCACAAAAATTCTAGTTAATATGTAAAATAATTCAAGTTCCTTCCTTGGAAAAGTAGAATAAGCTATTTTCTCCATCAACCAAATGACTGAATTCATTTCAGATGTTTCTTCAATTTATTGTGATTCAGATGTAATTCACAATTATACTGCTGCTGCCAATAGACATAAAATTAAATGGGATCTATCTCAGTGAGTGTTTTTCATTTCAGTATTTGTGACAATAAATGTGCACTTGGGACTCAAATTTCTAATGTTCAGTTATTTTATTTCTCTTGTGAATAAGTCTTTATTCTACTTGCAAGTTTATCTAAAGGCTAAATGATATGAGAATTTTTTTTAATCACCTATGTAAAAGCTTTAAGATATTGCTAGTTACTTGTAACTGAAACTGCCCATTGTTGAAGGTAATAATTGTTTTTCTTTATTTATCAGGTTATTTATTAAGAAATACAGTTAGTGTATTCAAGCCATCCGAGACAGATACATCCCTAATATAAGGTAGTTCCACTAGTTTGGTTTGTTATTTGAGAGTTTGCAATTGGAGTATGCCCCATGCATACAAATAACTCTTCTTATACTATCCTCTCTCCTTTATGATTGGATGCCTAATTTACTCACATTAGAGCCATTTTGAATGAGGCTTCTGAATCACACATAACTGGGAGGAACAACAGAATAGTACACCAGTTCCCATTGGCATTTTAATATGGATTAGCTGCTTAGATTAGCCACCTGCCAGTTGATGAGCTTTTTGGAAAGAGGTGGAGGAAACAGGGAGAGCATCTGTATGGGACAAAGTTCAGGCATCAGAGTGAAGTCCCAGGGAAGTTAAGGAAATAGCCCGAAGACAAGGGCCACTAATGATGTGTTAGCACGAGTAGGGCTTGACACTAAGAAGGAACTTCCTCTGTTTCATATTTTACATCAGCTGCTAAAATCATGGGACTTGCCCAGACCTAGGATAAAATAAGTTTCTGCATATCCAGAAACATATCAGCAGATCAGAGAAGAGTATTGCAAAAATTTTTAAAAAGCTATATTTATTCTTTTACTATCCTTAACCAGGATTTCTCGTCTTCATTTCATTTGATTGAGAAATGTGCTAATGAAGAACTAACTAAAATGACAACATTTAATCTAGACAAGTATGGAAACCCAAAATGAGTGGTTTTCTACAAAAGTCAAGAGAAGTCTTAGACAAGGGATTTTTTTTATTTTTTAGTACTGGGGTTTGAACTCACAACTGCACCTTGACACCTTGAGCCACTCCACCAGCCTTTTTAGAGATGAGGTCTCGAAAACTATTTGGCTGGCTTCGAATCATGATCCTCCTGATCTCTGCCTCTTGACTAGCTAGAATTCTAGGCATGAGCCAGTGGTGCCCAGCTGACAAGGGAAAGTTTTAAATAGAATGATAACTGAGTAGTTATGATAAATTCATGTTAAATAACTTTCTAACTTAAAAATAAATTTTTAAAATTTTATTATATGTTATACCTATATATATTTTCAAAATATAAAAGCTAATATGTTTCTTCTATTTAAATATTTCTAATAGAATAGGGCTATACATATTGTTAGAATTTGTATTCATTTTATTTAATTTCTATGATCCTAATACAATCTGGATTTCATTATATATAAAAACTATAATTAATCATCAAAGTATTTATTGTGAAAAGACCTCAGAAACCTAGAAGTTACTGACTCAACATAGCAGCAACAGCCACAGGCAAATCCAGGTGATGACTATTTTAAAAAAACAAATTCACTTTGTATCTCACAGTCATTGAACTGACTTCTCAAACTGTGTAGTTTGATTTTCTGTGGGGAATACTACAAATGTAAATCATCATCTAACACTAATATTTTTAGTAGTTTTACAATTCCTTGCTAAACCACATAAAATTTGAGTTCCCATTTCTTCATCAACAAATTGGATATCATTCCTCCAAAGTGTGCCATGAGAATCAATGGCACCCAAGATAATGGCTGTCCTAGGGCAGGGTCGTTACTGCATGTTAGTATGATTGGATTCTGACCCCTTTACTTCATCAGTTTTATGTGTTTTTGGAGGGTTAATCCATAAAATGAACAAACCAATGAAATGAAACTACAACACTGCATTTTTGGTAGGAAGCAAAAAGCATCTTAGGTGATTAGAAAAAGAAGAACTTTGTAATTTTGTTATGGATGAGAACTACAAGGAACAGAATAGGAATTACAGTGTCAAAGGTAGAAAGACTTAGTTATAAAATGGCAGATTAGTAACAAATGTATAAACAAGAATTATTATCTTTTTCACTAATTTTTTAGGTCAGAATTTTTAATATTACTGGGAGTCCCGATACATGGACAGTCTAAAAGGAACTATACATGTGTTGGGGAATATGGAAAAGGGAATTATGAAATATAAAATTTTACATACAAGTTTTGAGGATTCACTGAAATAATTTTCCTTAGCTTTCCCCCATGGAGGTGATACTTGTACTATAGGCATCAGTTTCAAAAATAATAAAAATTTTTACTGCCAAATATATTTCAGATTTCACTATCTTGCACAAGGTACTTGTTAGTTGCTTAATGAATATTCTGGAATTTAAAACTATTCACACTGATATTCGTTATCTTTGTCTCACTTGAAAAGCCATCTCCTCTGCTATCTTCCCAACATTAACCCATCTTCAGAGACAGAAGCAACTCATTGCACAAGAACTTTCACAAATGCTTCACAAATCTTGGTATTATTTTACCTGGCACCACTATGTGAGATCCCATGAGGTCATTTCTCTTGAATTACTGTCAAAAGAAACAAAATGAAAACCAACCTTTAAATATATTGTATTTGACTTCTGAGGCAACTCCAAAATGTTAATATTATTTTTGACTTCTGCTTCACTATAACTGCTGCTTTTATTTTTAGTATTTTTTTCATATTGTGGGTGTTATAGACTGAAAGGAATGCGTAGATTTGAAAAAAGCTATCTGACTGAAGAATAGTGATCCTCTAGAAAGAACCAGAAGGTTCATATGAAACTGGAAACCCACTCATAAATCTAAACACAAATGTTTAGCAGGGGTCTTTGTTGTTTTATTTCACCTTTTTGGGTTTTTTGTTTGTTGGTGGTTTTTCCATATTCAGGCCCTAATAGCAAAATCATCAAGATTCAAGGTATTTTCTGTGAATTAATGGCTGACCTCAAGAATGTCCTTTGTTTACCTCAGTCACCCCAGAATATGCTCCTGCCTCCTGCATATTGCTTACGTATTCTTCCTTTGTGAACTACTGTTTATCTTTCAGGAGTAGTGATTATCTTCCTGGGAAAAAGCAACTGGTCATATCTAATAGTTTGAAAGGAAGTTTCCATATATATGTTTGAGAGAGAGAAGAAAATCCTCACTCAGTTCTCCCAATATGTTTGGCATTTGGACATCACTCTTTCATTATTATTCTAAAACTCACCCACCTAAGTTGGAGATAGGAAAGCAATACTGTAGCTGAATTGTTAAGACATGGGTAGGAATGAGGGAAGGGTTTGCTTAGGGAAAACCTGATGGTAGAAAGCTTATGGCCAGTGCATAGACATACACATTATGGGATAATGTTATTTAGATTATACAAAGTGACAAAAATCCAACAACCACAATTCTTATTGAAAATGATCTTGCAATCCTTCCTGCTCAAACATTAGAAGTCAAGATTATTGTGTATGTCTGGTTTTGTAGTGCAGGTCTATAATTCCAGCATTTGGGAGGTAGAGGCAGGAGGATTGAGTTTGAGGTCTGGCTGAGTGACATAATTCTGGCCAGCCTAAGCTACATAATGAGACACAGTTTAACAAAATCTCCAACCAAAAAAATGTGTAGTGTGCCTAATTTTAAGTGATTTATTGTGAGTGTCTGGCATTACCTGAAAGCAAGGGAATAAACCTAATGAACTCTTGAGGGTGCTTGTTATGATCTTGTTATTTTAAAGAGAATTTTGTAGCTACAGTTGTACACCTGATAAGATCAAAAGACAGAGAAAGGTAATGCACAAGGCTTTGGTGTTTGGAACTCAATTCACATTGGATAAAATCCATAGTAGGCTATATCATATTGCCTCAGAGAGGAATGATTCTGTAACAGTGTTTTCATTTCTCCTACTCCAAAGGCTTCTTAACCTACATAAGCAATGAGATCATTTAATGCAGAACATATAACATGCAATACCCCAAATTTGAGAAAAAAGTTGTATTTCATTTAAGTTTGAAATGACCCAGATTCATGAATAGATGTATAAAAACACAGATAACATGCTTCACTCCCACTCTTGTCTTCACCTAGCATGCTTTAAAGTAAATTGGCTAAATTCTATCAGTAAACAACTGCTAGATTTAGTTTAAACAATTTAACTGTCTAAAATGTATATGTTCATTTTCCCCTAAGAAGACATTTCTAACTTAGTTGAACAGAAATATTGATTCACTTTTGTTTGTTTTTTCTTTTGTGTTTTATTTCCTCAGATTTATTTTTCCATTTGCATTGCTTTCTGGGGAGTAAGAAGCATGAGACAACTTGCCTCCGGCCCGTGGAAATAACCTAAGTGTACACAGTTCTCTTTTTTTAATCAGTTATCCACAACTACAATACATATGGAAATGTAATTATCCTGTATAAGGTTTATAGGAACCACTTCTTTAATGAAAAGTAAATGTATTTACTTCCTCTTACTTGTTTTTCACATTTGTTGTTTTCTGTTAAAATGAAAGTCAGTTATACTTTCTTTAGCTACCATTGAAAGACAAATATGATTTCAAATAGATTTATTTTATATTCACTGGTATCATCAATGAAAATGAGCATAAGTAAGGAAAGGAAAAATCTGAAGAATAGTAAACATTGGATTTGTGTTGATTTGACAAAGTTTCCTTTGATGGTTGCTAAAACTGCTTAGATACATGTATGTAGCCATAAAAACATATTGCAGGTATTCTCTACCAACCACATAACACCAGAAGCCATATTACAGAAGAAGGTATTGCTGAAATGAAAATGAATGGAATTTGACAGAATTAGTTTACTCAACAGGTTAATTCATAATACATATGTCTCATATGTTTGGTCAATTCATTTTGGCAGCTTAAGAAGCATGCAGTAATTCTGTGTTATTTAAAATTGTCATAATAACGTTCATAAAGTCCTCTAAATAAAACTGCCCTAGGCATTGTGTGTATTGGTTTTGAGGACTGTAAAACTCTGCCAAGTGTTTCATTAGGAGGGAACTGACAGGTAAGCAGGATCATGTCCAGAGAAGGACTGAAACAAAGTTGAAAAATAAAAAGTTTTTCCTTTCCTCCAATATTGCTTAGATTTCAAGCTACTATTTTAAAAGTCCAAATTACAAATATTAAGAAAAATATACTAATACTACCCTTCACCGAGCCTTGGCTGTAATCATTGCTGGATTAAGGAGATTGATTAGTTGCTTACCCTCATATTTTAAGTATGTTTTTAAAGCTTTGAACAAAGGAAAACATGCAACTGTTAACAGAATCAGACTGCAGGTGTCTATGGGACTAATGATGCAAGACTGAAGCATATTTATTTTTCAGACTGGAACAGCAGCAGAAGATTAAATTCTACATGATGAAAAAATTAACAAATTATATCTTGAGCGTCAGAAGTGGATTTGGCTTTACTTCATTCATCTTTTTATGCTTCTTAATTAAACACAGAGTTAGAACAAATGCTGAAGTCCTTAACAAATATTATATCTTCCTTTGGTCCCTCAAGCAGTTCTTAGTGGACTTTGCATTTATGGAAGCACATTACTGCAGGGAGCCCTCTGCTGGCTCAAATTCACAAAATTTATAGCATAAAAATTCTGAAGTCACAAAAAAATAAGGATAGGATTGTACAACAGGTCTTGTTAGGAGTGGGTACAAGTGTATGAAAACAGAATAATGAAGTCTGTCAACACTGTTTTATGTAGGGGGGAGATGTGGGAGAATGGTGGTGGAGGTGAATCTAACCAGGGTACATTGTAAGTGTAGCAGAGAGGATGATCAGAAGGAAACACACTAGGCCTGAGTCCTGAGAAAGTAGCAGGGAGGTAGGGATGGCACAGCAGAGAGATAAAACCTGAGGAATCTGAACATGAGGAAGGTCACATAGCAGTGGGGAGGGGAAGAAGTCACATAACATTAAGGTAAAGTAGCCTATGCAATAAAATATAACCACATATGGGTTAGACCTTGCTTTTTGCTTCTGTAACCTGCTTACAGGGCATATAAGGTGAGACCCCTTTTTCTCCGAGCTCAGCCTTTGGACAAGAGTCTCCTGAGTCTGTGCTGGCACAATAAAACATTGCAATATGCTAAATTGCCTCAGTGTCTTGTATCTTAGCTAGCAACTTCCTGCAACATAAGCATATATGTAAATGTCACAATGAACCCCCCTGTATAACTAATCTATGCTAATTAAAATGTTTAAAAAATGCTTAAGACCCAAACTCTGTATTCTAAAGACTTTTCAGTCTATAGGTCACATCATTCAATAATAGCCAAGGAAAGAGATTTATTTTTCCTTTTGCAAACCTTCAAATAGATTTTAAGTGTGTCAAACTAGTTTAATGGTCTCCCCAAGCATGTTGCAGAAATATGCATGTGTGCTTGGATATATGTGAATTTATAGGAGGGCTCTAAAATAAATTTAATAATGGAAATAAATAATTCAAAGCGATTAAAGATCATTTTACAGCAAAGTTCAGTTTTCTTTGAGTAAACTCAAACTTAACCATTTTCTCTTTTTGCTATCTTCATTACATTTGTAAATAGTCCTTTAGAAATAATATAGGTATTTTTAAGCTATGATTTCCAAGTTTGAACATGAACATGGCTCCCAGGAAGGTAGCATTCTAAGGACCTCTGTGCATTAACCAGGACATTTTATTCTTCACCTTTGACCATGCTAATTTTCCAGTCTGGTTTTCTCTTGCTAACTTCTGATAAATAATGACAGATTGCATAACTATTCATAATATTGTAAATTGGTCTTGAGTGATACCATGTAATTCATGCTTACTTTTTACTAGAAGAATTTAATTCTCCCTCCCTCTTTCTCTCAAGAGAGAAAGCACTAAAAGTAGGGATCATCAATTACCTACCACTTATCGAAAAGGGCAAACTACCTTTGTGAAAAATTATGAGGACACTAAATTTTGGTAATGCTCGTAGTAACGAGCATTTATTTATTGAGTAGTACTTTATTAGAACTATTTAACTTAGCCTCTAAAATTCTGAGAATTAAGTGTCATCAAGCCATTTTATAAGAGAGCATTCTGAGTCCTAGAGAGGTTAAATGGACCCATGAAACATAATAGATGACCAATTTTTTTAACTCTGAATTCTGACATCAAAGTCCACGATGTCTCTCCATTTCATGTTATATGGTATTCAGGGCAAATCCTTAGAATTATGGACACGAGAATTTGTGTTTAGTGGTTTTTCCTTCAAATTGATTCTGTTCAGTATGAAGTTCAAAAGGTAAGTATGCTAGTTGTAGGGCTGTTTGACAAGGTAGATGAGTCCTGAACTTTTAAGCCTTCCAAAAGTGGCAATTCCTTTATCCTTTATATGGCTTGCCATATAAAGATGGATCAAAAGAACTCCAACTACTGGGTGGCAGTGGCTCATGCATGTAATCCTAGCTACTCAGGAGGCAGAGATCAGGAGGATCATGGATCAAAGCCAGCCAGAGCAAATAGTTCCTGAAACCCTATCTCAAAAATACCCAACACAAAAAAGGACTGGCAGAGAGGCTCAAGTGGTAGAGTGCCTACCTAGCAAACATGAGAACCTGAGTTCAAAGCTCAGTACCTCAAAAAAAAAAAAAATGGAAAAAAGAAGTCTATCCCTGTTCTTGGATTGTCAATTTTCTCTAAAATTGTTCATTACTCTGACTCTATTTATTTCTTATGTCATTTCTTTCCCATTCCCTCATTTCTTCTAATCATATTTGTTAAATTAATCCTATCTTCTCAGGTCCATGATATTCAATAATATTGAAGTCCACAATTGTATATTAGATGTTCAATTAATTACCATTCTGTAGGAACCCTCATTATATTTAACATTATCAGCTTTTGTTACTCTTTATTAGAAATTCCCAAATTTCATTGTTTTAGTGATACATAATTTAATTTTTCAATGAGGCATTTTCAATGGAATTCTTTAAGGCATAGTAGACATGTTCAAGTAATGTAATGAAATTTACTAGAGAAAGCAACTTCCCCTTTTTATGCCCCACCCCTATTTTCTCAAAGTCATAGCACATAGGATCCCAAAATAACATGGAAAAATAGAGAAACAAACTGGACTTTCAGGATCTTAAAACATTTTGATGTCATGACTCTCTCTTTGGAAGCAGCTGGGCTCTATCTTAATTAAACATGCCTCAATGAAAGGAACTGAACAAACAAAATTCTATTATCACAGTGATTTTTTTCACTCTAATTCTGCCACCTCTTCTCAATAGCATAGAACTTACTCTTTTCCCTCCCTAAAGACATAATTAACCAACATTGATGATTTTTTTTCTTGTGGGTTGGGTCTTTTTGAAATTCAAAGCTCTCTAACACCATTTTAGTTATCACCTTCAGATATTCCAGACATTCAATATCCATGAATCATAATCTTAAAGTCATTCTTTAGATACATTGTCCCTTAGTTATAACAGCAACATATTCAATATTATAACCTGCATATATTATATTTACCTTATAGAAGACAGGAAGAAGTTGTCTGTGTGACTGGGATTATCCATGGAATTTATTTATTTGTTTGTTTATTTATTTATTTATTTATTTATTTTGCACTGGGGATGAATCTAGTGCTGCAGGTATTCTAAGCAAACACTACCATCGAACTACATATTCAGCCCTCAGATCTTTCTTTAAAATACTTGGCTGCAATACTGGATTTAATAATATTGAGGTGATGCCAGAAAATACATACATTTTCAAAGCTGTGCTGGTGATAAGGTACCAAGGTTAAAACTGATCAAGGAGCAAGGAAACTTCTTGAGATGAGGATGTAACTCAATACTACAATGCTTGCCTTGCTAGCATGTGCAAGACCCTAGGGCTGATTCCCAGCACTACCATAAAAGAAGAAGAAAAAAGAAAAGAAAAGAAAACTTCTCTAGGCCTTACTCTCCAACTTAGGGTGTATACAAGGAAGATACATGTTTCAAGGGAGCACTGCTTATACAGTAAATTCTTGAAGAATTGAAAGACAAAGAATTGAAGGTTATTTAGATATGCCATACAAGAAAAAATAATAGTTTAGCATGGTATTATTTTGCATGCATTTTTGAATAATCTAAGCTTGAAAGATTCATAACCAGGTGAATATCAGTGGGGTGAGAAGTAGAGAAAATGGCACTGATAAGGCCAACATGCTCAAAAAATGTCACCATAGGTCCTGTTTGTATGTCTGAGTTTTCATTTTAACCGAGAATTCCAATTGTTTACATACTTGGTTAGGTTTGGTTGACCCTACTTCAGTTTCTGCCAGGTCTCTTTCAGTTGAGTGAGAGATACATGGGAATTGAAAAGGGTTTCTCCCTTTGACATAAAGTTAAATATAAAAGAGATCCCTCTATAAAGC